AGGAGGCTGAGGCAGGAGAATTGCCTGAACCCAGGAGGCGGAGGTTGCGGTGAGCCGAGATCGCGCCATTGCACTCCAGCCTGGGTAATAAGAGTGAAACTCCGTCTCAAAAAAAAAAAAAAAAAAAAGAAAATATGGTATGGTCAGATGTGGTGGCTCATGCCTGGAATCCCAGCACTTTGGGAGGCGGAGGCAGGTGGATTGCCTGAGCTTAGAATTTTCAGACCAGTCTGGGCAACATGACAAAATCCCGTCTCAACAAAAAATAAAAAATAAAAAAATTGATGTTTGCCGTTCCCCTTGCTAACTGATAATGGCTGTGCATGAAAAAAAAAAAAAAAAAAAAAAAAAAATTGGCCAGGTGTAGTAACTCACACATTTAGTCCCAGCTACTTGGGAGGATGAAGTAGGAAAGAATTGCTTGAGCCTGGGTGGCTGAGGCTAAAATAAGCCAATATCATGCCATGGCACTCTAGCCATGGCAATAAATGAGACACTGTCTCCAAAAATAAAATAAAATAAATAGTATTAAAAAAAAAAAAAATATATATATATATAGTCCATAAACATCATGGAATACTCTGTGGCCATTAAAAAAAAATAATCATCACATCCTTCACAATAACATCGATGAAGCTGGAGACCATTTTCCTTAGAAAACTAATGCAAAGCCCAGGTGTCGTGCCTGATGCCTATAATTCCAGCCCTTTGGGAGGCCAAGGCAGGTGGATCATCTGAGGTCGGGAGTTTGAGACCAGCCTGACCAACACGGAGAAACCCCGTCTCTACTAAAACTGAAAAATTTGCCAGGAGTGGTAATTTCAGCTACTCAAGAGGCCAAGGCAGGACAGCTGCTTGAACCGAAGAGGTGGCGGTTGCAGTAAGCCAAGATTGCAACACTGCACTGCAGCCTGGGCCAAAAGAACACAGCTCTATCTCAAAACAAAAGAAAAGTAATGCAGAAACAGCAAACTAAATGCATGTTATTATTTATAACAGCTAAATAATAAAAACATATGAACACAAAAAGGAGAGCAACAGACACTGAAGCCTAATTGAGGGTGCAGGGTGGGAGGACGAAGGGGATCAGAAAACGTACCTGTTTGGTGCCATGGGTAGAACCTTGGTGTCAAAATAATCTGCACACAAACCCCCTATGACATAATTTTACCTGTATAACAAACCCACATGTGTACCCCAAACCTGTAATAAAAGTTAATAGAAAAAAAAAATCCTAAGTGGCAGAGAGTGCAGTGGAGGTGAGAGGATTGATTCTTTCTACAGAAAGTGGCCCAGGTGGGGCTGTACTCTGACTTATTTCTGTGTGCATGCAGGCAGATGAGATTATAAACAAGATTATAAGCAGGTCCAGAACCCTAGCTTGGTGGAGAACACCGGCTACTGCTGCAGATTCAGTGCCTGGGGGAGGGGATATTCCAGGAGACTTGTAGACACTTCTGGGTTTTCGGCAAGAAACACTAGGATCAAAAATGCCGTGGTGAAGTTCCTGAGGGTGGTGCCTAGTCTTGAGAGCAGTGTGGACACGTCACTGTCTACTGTGTGTGTTTGTGAGTGGGTGGGAATCCCGTGGTGGCAGCTGCAAAAAAAAGGGGGTCTGTCATCAGAGCTCCTTTCCTTTCATTTTATTTTTATTACTAGTTTTTCAGAGGTCCTTTCCTCTTAAGTTTTCAGAACTAAGTCACCCTGAGAGAAGACCTGGAATCACAGGACAATGGGCAGTGTGACAGCCTGCGTACAAGAGAGCAGAGCCATCCATTTCCAAACACTTAGAGTTTTATTCCAGGTCGGGCCTCCCTGACATCTGTTTTCTGGCACCAAATCTGTACGGTTTGCTGAACATCAAACAATGCTCCAACATCAACTTATTGTCTAACATTTGAATTCTGACACCACTCAGATTCAACAAAGACCCTGATTCAGGACCTGAGGTCGGGAGTTCCAGACCAGCCTGGCCAACATAGAGAAACCCGATTCTACTAAAAACACAAAATTAGCTGGGTGTAATGGCGCATGCCTGTAATTCCAGCTACTCCGAAGGCTGAAGTAGGAGAATCACTTGAACCCGGAAGGCAGAGATTATATTTTCGTATTTTTAGTAGAGATGGTGTTTCAACATGCTGGCCAGGCTAGCCTAGAACTCCTGACCTCATGATCCGCCTGTCTCAGTCTCCCAAAGTGCTGGGATTACAGGTGTCAGCCACCGTGCCCACTCAGGAAGCGTTTGTTTTGTTTTGTTGTTTTTCTGAGAGGGAGTCATGGCCGGGCATGGTGGCTCATGCCTGTAATCCAAGCACTTTGGAGGCCAAGGCGGGCGGATGACCTGAGGTTGGGAGTTCAAGAGAGGGAGTCTCACTCTTCTGCCAGGCTGGAGTGCAGTGGCCAGATCTCGGCTCACTGCATTCCCCTCCCCCGCCCCGCCTCGGCCTCTCAAACTGCTGGGACTACAGGTTACAATCACAGTGCTGGGCCCAGGAAAGGGTTTTTAACCCTAACAAAGTACCTGTTTCTGTGTCCTTCCCCACGGGCTGGGGTCAGCCCGCACAATCTAGGCTGATCCCGGTTGGCTTAGAATCAAACTTTTTCCATATAGAGTAAACGCGCGGTTTTTCGAGAAATGGAGAAGGCGGAAGGAGAAGGGGTAGGGTTGATTTACAACTTGTGACCAGGAAGTTGAGTCTTTGAAGAAAAACTTAGTTGACCTAACAACTCCTGATCTCAAGCAATCCGCCCCCCTCAGTCTCCCAAAGTGCTGGGATTACAGGTGTGAGCCACCGCTCCCGGCGGGATAGAGAAAAGCAAAGCTGTGAACCCCACGGACCAAAGCTCTTCCCACTCATGAACCCGCACCCCGAGTCAGGATTCTCTGCTGAGGACGCTCCCGTGGTCCCTGCACAATCAGAGACACGCAGAGCTGCCCAGAGAGGCTCCAAGCCAGGAAACGGTCACTGCGCAGGGAAGAGACGGGACTCTGGGCCCGCTAACAGCGCCGCCGCCATCTTATGGCTGAAGGGGACTGAGGCCGAGCCGGGCCAGGAGAACTCGGGGAGGAGATTGTGGAGCCGACTGCGGGGAGGCCTGAGTCCCGCCACAGCCACTTCCAACCGGTTCCAACCCGTCCCTCTTCTCTCTCGGAATGTCGGACCGGCACTCTCACCATTTCTAGGCTTCCAGGGGGTCCCGGCGTCCTAGCTGCGGATCTCCCAATACCTGCAGGTCACAGGGCCGCGAGGCTGGGCGTCTCGGAGCAGAGGACACAGAGCAGAGAAAACGGGACCCGGAGCTCCAGCGGCAGCAAGAGACAAAGGCCGCGCCAAACCCGGAAACCGTCCTCTCCGCTCCAGCTACGTGCCTGATTGAACGGTTCCCGGCCCAACGTCCCTGATTGGATAATGTTTAAGGCCCCGCCCCCTCAGGCCCTGAGTGACAAGATGTGATCAGACTCCGGACCGAGAGGAGAAAGTAACAGCCTAAGTTGCAGCTTTTTCAGGCGGAGCTTCCTCCCTCAGCTGAGCCAGGCCCGCCCCAGAGCACGGGAAAATTCTCTTTTCAACTCTCGTTTTGCATGTATTCAACAGGGGAACAGAAGTATTTTACTGTGATATTAATAATAAAATTTTTGTTCAAAAGAAAACTTTTACTTTGGTAATAGTGTATTATCAATACTAAAGCTAATCTTAATGAAACTTTGTAAATGAATTTATTTTTGACCCTCAAGATTTATATATATATATATATTTTGTAATTTTTTGTAATTTTCTAGCCTTTTTATCTTTTATTTTTATCCACATTCTTTATATTTTTTCAATTTGAAACAAATTTCAAGTAATTTCAAATTGCTGTAGGAGAAAGAAATCATTTAAGGCCATTCATCTGCATTCAAGTTTGCAGTTATGGTGGAAAATATGGCCTATTGATGTCCTGCTGATGAAATAGTCTTTCAAGAGAAAGCAGAGACGCATGAGTATCTACATCGGAAACAGCGACAGTGGTAGTGTGCGCCAGAATTCAGTTATCTTCCCAGGATTGTTTTTCCCAAACCTCTTTATTCCCAATTAAACATTTGCACTCCAGCCTGGGCGACAAAGCGAAACTCTCACAGAGTCAGTTGCCATGGACATTCAATCGCTAAGAGAAGAACTGGGAGAGTTCCCGTCCTGAAATATGTAAAGTCCCAGAGTTTCCAGTCCTGTCCTTGTGGCCAAAAAGTGACATTATTTTGGTTTTGAATTGTTTTTGATGTCAAGTGTTCTGTACAGGACATGCTTGAGGTGAGAAACACGAACACAATACCTTTAAGGGTAAACAAGCTTTATCCCATGTAACTGGCAATGCACATATAATAAATAAATGATATAAGCAAATCAACATAATAAGCAGATTGATATAAGCAGATTGATGCAATAAGCAAATTGCAATAAAAAAGAGAAGGGAAAAAGATAAATATAGTTATATATTTACGCCCATCAGACTGAAGAATTCACCACCAGAGTGGGAAGCAACAGCCTGGCCTCCAGAGTTGAACACTCATCCCTGCACAGACTAGGAGAGGTCTTATGAAGCTTCAGCGCGATCTGGGACCCTAGCTCTTTTTGAATGAGTTTTGGCATAAGGCCCAGTCACGAGGGCCCTTCCTGACTGGCCTTAAGGAACACAAAATGGTCAACTTGTTTTGGGGATTGTCTATTTTTCTGCAACAACTAATGTAGAGGAATGGATTGAAATAGAAATTTCTCCGATATAGTCCAGGATGAATACAAGGGGCTCACACAAACTGTTTCAGGATTTGACCATTGTGTCCACATTCAATGGAGTTCAAATTGAATATTTAACTTTTCCTCCACAAATTACCCTGTCTGGATGAATCACTTCCGTCTAGGCAAAGGGCAAGGTGAACCCCATAAGCCGATATGCAACCTCCACCTCCCGGGTTCAAGCGATTCTCCTGCCTCAGCCCGCAGAGTAGCTGGGACTACAGGTGTGCACCACCACACCCAGCTAATTTTTTGTATTTTGATTAGAAATCAGGTTTCACCATGTTGGCCAGGTTGGTCTTGAACTCCTGACCTCAAGTTATCTGCTCACCTTGACCTTCCAAAGTGCTGGGATTACAGGTGTGAGCCACTACGCCTGGCCCTAAATGATTTTTTTTTTTTTTTGAGATGGAGTTTCGCTCTTGTTACCCAGGCTGGAGTGCAATGGCGCGATCTCGGCTCACCGCAACCTCCGCCTCCTGGGTTCAGGCAATTCTCCTGCCTCAGCCTCCTGAGTAGCTGGGATTACAGGCACACGCCACCATGCCCAGCTAATTTTTTGTAATTTTAGTAGAGATGGGGTTTCACCATGTTGACCAGGATGGTCTCGATCTCTTGACCTCGTGATCCACCCGCCTCGGCCTCCCAAAGTGCTGGGATTACAGGCTTGAGCCACCGCGCCCGGCCCCCTAAATGATTTTCTATCTCCTGTAACGGTTTGAAATTATTTAAATGTTGTTTCAAATTGAAAAAATTCAAAGAATATAGATTAAAAATGTAATATAAAAAGCTAGGCTGGGTGCGGTGGCTCCCATCTGTAATCCCAGAACTTTGGTAGGCTGAGACGGGTGGATCATCTTAGGTCGGGAATTTGAGACCAGCCCGACCAAAATGGAGAAATCCCATCTCTACTGAAAATACAATTAGCCAGGCGTGGTGGCACATGCCTGTAGTCCCAGCTACTTGGGAGGCTGAGGCAGGAGAGTCACTTGAACTCGGGAGGTGGAGGTTGCAGTGAGCTGAGATCGCACCATTGTACTCCAGCATGGGCAACAAGAGAGAAACTCCATCTCCAAAAAAAAAGAAAAAAAGTTAAAAAAATAAAAATAAAAATAATTAAAAGAAAAAGCAGCTGGGCGTGGTGGCTCACGCCTGTAATCCAAGCACTTTGGAGGCCAAGGCGGGCAGATCACCTGAGGTCGGGGGTTCAAGACCAGCCTGACCAACATGGTGAAACCCCGTCTTTAAAAAATAAATAAAAATAAATGGTAAAAAAATTACGAGAGTACTATATGTGTAAATCTGGAGAGGTCAAAAATGACTGATTTATTTACAAGATTTTATTTAAATTAGCTTTAGTATTGATAATACACTATTACCAAAGTAAACGTTGATTTTCTGTTGAACAAAAATTTTATGTATTATTAATATGACAGCAAAATACTTCTGTTCACCTATTGAATACATTCAAAAATAGAGTAAAAAAGAAATAGAATTTTCCCATCCTGTGGGGTGGGCCTGGCTCAGCTCAGGGAGGAAGCACTGTTTGAAAAAGCAGCAGCACTGGGTGTGGTGGTTTACGCCAGTAATCCCAGCACTTTGTGAGACCAAGGCTGGAGGGTCAAGAGGTCCAGACATTCCTGGCCCACATGGTGAAACCCCACATATACTAAAAATATGATTCTCTGGGTGTGGTGGCGTGCACCTGTAGTCCCAGCTACTCAGGAGGCTGAGGCAGGAGAATAGCTTATACCTGGGAGGTGGAGGTTGCAGGGGGCTGAGATTGTGCCACTGCACTCCAGCCTGGCGAAAGAGCAAGACAGACAGACGGAAAGAGAGAGAGAAAGAGAGAGAGAGAGAAGAAAGAAAGGGAGGGAGGGAGGGAGGAAGGAAGGAAGGAAGAAATGACGGAAGGAAGGAAGAGAGAGAGAAAGAAAGAAGGAAAGAAAAAGAAAGGAAAGAAAGAAAAGAAAGGGAAAGAAAAGAAAGGGTTGCAGAGCACTTTGGGAGGCTGTGGCAGGTGGATCACGAGGTCAGGAGTTCAAGACCAGCTTGGCCAACATGGTAAAACCCCAATCTTTACTAAAAATACAAAAACTAGCCAGGTGTGGTGGTCACCCATGTGGTTCCAGCTACTCGGGAGGCTGGGCAGGAGAATCACTTAAACCCAGAGGCAGAGGTTGCAGTGAGCCAAGATTGTGCCACTGCACTCCAGCCTGGAAGACAGAACAAGACTTCGTCTCAGAAAAAAAAAAAAAAAAAAAAGAAAATGAAAGAGGCACAATTCCTCTAAATTTAGAGTCAGTTGTGTAGCCTAGGTACAGATGCCCTCTCCAAACATGCAGAATCAATGCCATTTTTTCACCCGAATAATTTTAATCTCCTGCAGCCACCAACTGACCCCAACTGGAACACTAATTATGGAGTGTGTTACGCATACTAGTGCTTTTACACATCTAGTGCTTTTCGGTGTTTGTCTCCTTCATTTATGTCTAAACAACACCATGTCTGATGTAGAGACATAGGAGTTGGAAAAAAAAAGAAAGAAACAGGACCATGACTGATGTCACCCCCTGGTGTTTATCTAAATAAATTAACCCAATAAGATCAATAAACTCAATGATGGGCCGGGCGCGGTGGCTCAAGCCTGTAATCCCAGCACTTTGGGAGGCCGAGGCGGGTGGATCACGAGGTCAAGAGATCGAGACCATCCTGGTCAACATGGTGAAACCCCGTCTCTACTAAAAATGCAAAACATTAGCTGGGCATGGTGGCACGTGCCTGTAATCCCAGCTACTCAGGAGGCTGAGGCAGGAGAATTGCCTGAACCCAGGAGGCGGAGGTTGCGGTGAGCCGAGATCGTGCCATTGCACTCCAGCCTGGGTAACAAGAGCAAAACTCCGTCTCAAAAAAAAAAAATAAATAAATAAATAAAATAAACTCAATGATGTCAATTATAAAAATTAAAAGAGCAACAACAAAGGAAAAATCCGCTTAGACTTCTCCAACTGAAAGAAAAAAAGTGTACTAAACTTACTATGGAATTACATCTTCAAAGTACTTTGTGAGCACCATTAAAATTTGTAAAAATTAGCCGGGCGCGGTGGCTCAAGCCCGTAATCCCAGCACTTTGGGAGGCTGAGACGGGTGGATCACGAGGTCAAGAGATCGAGACCATCCTGGTCAACATGGTGAAACCCCGTCTCTACTAAAAATACAAAAAATTAGCTGGGCATGGTGGCGCGTGCCTGTGATCCCAGCTACTCGGGAGGCTGAGGCAGGAGAATTGCCTGAACCCAGGAGGCGGAGGTTGCGGTGAGCCGAGATCGCGCCATTGCACTCCAGCCTGGGTAACAAGAGTGAAACTCCGCCTCAAAAAAAAAAAAAAAAAAAAAAAAATTTGTAAAAAATTATTCCAAATATTCTGGAGGTTATATAAAGAATACTTTATAAACTTTGGTACATGAAAATTATGCATTAGGTCTACTATGAATTCCAGGTAAGTAAAAACAGGACTTACATAAGAAGATTCTGAACTAGGAACCATAAGATTTTGGAAAAATGAATTCAATACAAAGGAGAAAAACAGATTTGCTTTGAAATTCTTTGAGGTTACTAGTTTGGTAGCAAGTTATCAACACTTTAAAA